AGCTGCTGAGTGTGGACATACAAGGAAGCAAGCTTACTCAGACTCTGTGGTAGCCTGTTGCTGGGAGGGGCCTCCTCCTACTGCTGTGGTGGTGGTGGTCCTCGCCGCTGCCTCCACCATACTCGCCGCTACTATCTCTCTCATCTTCCTTTGCAATGCCGTCACCTCTCTATCGATCTGAACCCTCTGCTCCGACAAAGCTGATCGCCGCTTTAACAACCTATACACAACTGTACACTACCCAGGACAACCAGAGAAGGTCAATAACCCCAACTCCTCTACCTACTCCGAACTATCCCCTTCCCCATCGGGAAACCGAATGAGTGTCAACCATAACGACGATCAGCCTATGAAAGTTTATGCTATTAGAAAATTCCAAATCTATATCACACTTCTCTTCGGAGCATCAGCAATAACATCCCATGACCAACCTCTGAATTCTCCCATCAGAGTCCTCCAATTCACTCTGTGTCTCCAATGATAGCCTAGTAAGATCGCCGTATCTCTCGAGCATCCTAGCATGCTGCAGTCTAGCCCCAGACGACCGCTTTGGGTGCTGCGCCACTCCACCACTTATTGCCGTGCTTCGTTGAGCCACTGCTGCTGCTGCTGCTGTTGTTGTCGTTGAATTGGCACCGGCATCCTTCTGGAAATTCCATATAAAGTGCAATCAAATACATAACCAGCCTCTACCGTTACCTGCTGTTTCGATGCTGCCACCGCCGCTGCTGCCGCTGCACGCGTGCGCAACGCCAACTGCTTGGCCCTGCTGGCACTCTTCGTCTGAGAGCATATCCCACTTCCCGCAGTCCAACAAGAGGTAGTCCTACCTTGATGCGTTTGGACACCCTCAGTAGCTCCCTACGCTCATACTTGAGTAGATCCGGTCCCAGAGCGGACCTCTCCTGGTCCCTCTCAGACACCATGACTGGGTCCCCAAGGTCAACTCGGCAGACACTGCCATATCTACCACTTGCATCAACAGTCGCATAACCACCCAAGCCATCCACAATGCCTTGAATGGGTGGTGAAGGGGAGACGTCCACATTCATCGTTGCAAAGGAGGGGGTATAACTAATGGTATCACCATAGACAGAATAAGAATGGCATTCAGTAGCTCGGCTTGGGATGAACAACCACGACTTGAACAATATGTGGGCTCATCCCACTGGGATAGAGCCATCAATTTCATGAGGGACAGTACATCCATCCCTCCGAGCGCTCTCGTAGGAGGAGAACCAGGAACTCCGCATCCCATACGCCATTGGCGGCCTCACCAGGCACCAACACAAGATATAACAGAAAGCTGGTATCGATTCTCGTACAACAGGTACCCCAGAGCGAAGGCTCGCAAGGGGAACCCTCACCCATATACGATCCAACCACAACACCGCCCGGGAACCTCCTTACCCTTGATCTCCACAATCACACAAGGATCACGGACTCTTACAGAATCCTTTCTATTCGACCATTCTGTACCCTATACCCCCAACAACAATGGTAGAATACAAACCATCACAAGCATCGAAGAAACGTTTTTACGGCTAAGATAAGGGAGATGAATAGGTTGGTAGTCAGTGCTTGTCAATGCTGCTGCTGCTCAATCGATGTTACACGTCTTGAACACGTTAAAGCCATCCAATGCCGTGGTTACCATAACCTGAAATCTTCATCATGTCGAGCCCGCACAGAGCACTCTGAGTAGATGCTAGGCCGCGAATGGTACTGTCAAGACCAGTGTGGGAATATATGCATATGGCCGACTATATGTGTTGATGACAATATGGAAGTTTTGGGAAAGTCTTGTTGGTTTCTGAACACCTCTACCCTTATTCGTATACGAACGAACATCTATCCCCACACTGGCCAAGCAATTGCCAGCTCACCTATTCCCTCGAAACTATATCTACCACACGTGAAACGACTCGCCGAAGAGTAGTTCTGAAATCTGTTTGCAATCCAGTGAAAGCCCACACGGGTGAAAATTTCTGGCTCTGAGGTGGGGATAATCGCAGGGACAGGCCGTTCGGAACTTTTTACGCAATGAACATCGCTGAGTTCGATTTTGAAGTCGATTTCCTTCGAAGAAAGCTCTTCGCATTTAGGAGGATGCCCCCTTCTAGGCACTCCACTAGACCAGGAAGTCATCGAGGAACTTGAACTGTTCCCGGAGAGAACGAATTTTGGACCTTCAAAATGGCTAGGAACATATTTTCGGCCAATTTTCGAGATTTTCCCCATTATAATTGCTCATTCGGAACATTTTTCCTAGTCTCGGCGGGATTGGGGGACGTTCATTGGGAACGTTATTTCTGAGAGCCGGATGATTCCCTGCACTAGACTCACCCCTGGTAGTTGAGGATGGAACTTGACCTCCTTTACCCCAGTCTGGCCCTGATGCAGGAACATCATTTGTGCCGGGTAGTCCTCCTCCCCTTCGAGATGCCCTTGGCCACCTAAACCACCACGATGACCATACACCCACTACTTAAGCCCCCTCCCTACCTTGATTATCATCATCATCATCAGCTTCCACACTCATATCCCACAGACTCACTGTGTTATCGGCCGATGCCACAGCCAGGAGGGTCTCATCGTAGGGATGCCAGTCCACCGACTGAGGAAGCGAACACACTACAACGACCACTCCCGCGAGCCGAGTATAAAACACGCGATTCCCACAATGCATCCGCAAGCCAACCTAGACAATCCGACCCGACGAAAATATTCGACTGTCCATGAAATTTTTAGAGTCTTGATCACTTTTGCGGATTTTTCATCAAATTCTCTTCAGTGAGAGTATTTATACTCATTCCATTAAAGTTTCACCCATTTTACGTGGAATGGCTTAATACCCTGTGAAAAACCCGATATTCGCGGTACGCAGTAGTCGTAAAATATATTTTTCACTAATGTTTTTCATATCCCGGATGAAACTCCATTGAAAGTCAACTCCCTGCCTCCAATACGAAACCCACCAACAATAGCATACACTGCATATAAATTATTCCATCATTATCAATAGAACTACACGTAATAGTACAACCTACCGTGATAGCATCCCTATGCCACTTGAAGTTGGCCATAGGACCATGTCCAGTATTACGAACATCCCACACCTTGAAGGAGCCATCATCAGCACCAGAGAGGAGGAGATCTCCAACCTACAACAACCACACACTATCAATAACAGTGAGCTACAACACCACGCTGGCTCATCAGCATCGTGTCACCAATTTTCAAACGATAATCAACCAGAAGTAATAACACATATATAAAGACATGAACAGTTCCCACCGACATAACTCTCAAACCTCGCTAACGCCGCCCCCCCATCTCCCTACCTCCGGATTCCACGATATAACGTTAACATCAGTATCATGAGCAATTATGGTAAGGCTCGGTCTGGCCGAATAGCCCTCCATATCCCATAACCGTATAGTGCCATCTACACCTGCTGTAGCCATCGTAGTAGCAGCGCCAGTACCTACAGTTACAATTAACTCACTACCATAATCACATCGAAAGTTTGTTCCCTAAACAATTATATGAATAATACAAGTAATATATTAATAATAGTGTTGTATTAATAAATAAGTGTATATTAATAATAGGGGAATAAATATAAATAAAAGATAATACCTATATACAATAATATAAATAAAGATGAAGTAAAATAATAATGATAAGTATACTATGACCTCATGATGATTATGTACAGTGTATAATACTCGCACCTTTTCTGAGACAGCTCGTGTTTCACATTATAATTTCAAACTTTGTTAAAACAAATTTCCCCCAACTCCACCATTGAGATCTAGGAATGCCCTTTACGTCCAGGCATGAGTATGAAAGCCCCCGAGCAGTGTGGGGGAATATATGCACATGCTCAACTACATGTGTTGCTGAAAACATGACAATTCTCAGGAAATTCTGAGAAATCATCATCAATTTTTGTGCACTTCTACCCAAAATCATGTGAAAAATCCTCACAAATTTACGACGAGTTCAGTCGAATAAATCATACATATATTCCCACACTGTCCCCAATTCCCCATTCTCACCGGCCTTTTTCCACATAATATCTTCAATACTGCCCTCATGACTTTTACCCATCTTCGACTGTTCCCATCCACCTTCACATGGGTTCCACAGATACCTGCACTCAGATACAGCGATGGTCAGACAACACCGCCGAGCATTACATATTGCCATCGCAATCAGCAGAAGCAAACTGACCTACTGAGTGGGGGTTCCACGCCATACCGTATCTGATCGAATAATAATACAACAACTACCTTACACTCCAATAACAGTGAGCATTGAATTAATAGACTCTTATCAACGCGTCAAGATGCATCGATGAGAATCCATGTGTCGTCAAACTCTGACATCTCCACAGTACTTACGGGAGAGTTGAACTCCTCCCTCGATATTATTCACATCTACTACGTCCTACCATACTGTATACTATCACCATTGTATAACCACAACGCTAAAC